GCTTGAGGCTGTTACACTAAGTTGATCTAATCTGGAAAACTGTCTTTGAGAGGACCATTCCAATTCAGTCATCATTCCAAAAAAATAGCCTTGACACCATTACCACTTTTATGCTGACATTGCTTTTCAAAGCTGGCCATAAAGATCTTATAAATTTCCAAACACTTACCCCATAACTGGTAGAAATTTCTCTTGTACACCAGAGACCGTCTGCCCCATACTTCTCCTTAATTACCTGTCTCCAAAGAGCTTGTGCCTCCACAGGAAATCTCAATAGCCATTTCATTAGTAAACCTTTGTTGTGATGTATCAAATTTCTGATTCCCAATCCTCCATCCTTCTTGCTGTTTGTCAAGGTCTTCCAATTCACTAAATGAAAACCCCTCTTCTCCTTATTTCCTTGCCAAATAAACTTTCTCCTCAATTTATCAAGTCTTTTTTCTATATTCACTGGCAAAGGAAATAAATATATCATATAAGTAGGAAGAGAATCTAAAACATTATTCACCAAGGTGACCCTTCCTCCTAATGATAGATAGTTACTTTTCCACTTGGAAAGCTTCTTTTCACACCTCTCCAGCACTCTCACTCCAGATTTATTTTTTGCTCCTAAAGGTAAACCCAGGTAAGTGGTTGGTAACACTGCCACCTCACAACCTAAAACTCCAGCTAGTCTCTGAATGTTGGGGACTTCATTCATCGAGTATATCTGTGACTTTCTCCAATTTACATGCAAGCCTGAAATTGCTTCAAAGATAGAAAGAATCATCCTCAAGTGTCTGATTTGTTCCTCATCAGCATCACAAAAAACTAGAGAATCATCAGCTTATAACAAATGAGTGATTTCCAGATTGCTGCTAACATTGTTTAAAACCTTAAAACCCTTTATCCATCCCTCCTGGTTAGCCTTCATGATCAAACCGTTCAGACCTTCCATTGCAATGATGAATAGGAAAGGTGACAAAGGGTCACCTTTACTTAATCCTCTTCCTGATGAAAAAATCCCTCTAGAGATCCATTTACTAGAATAGAGAACCTAACTGTGATCCAGTTAATATGGTCATAAGCCCTTTCAATCTGTAGTTTACACAAAATCCCAGGAATTTTGCCGTTGATTCTAGAATCAACACACTCATTAGCAATCAAAGTAGCATCCATAATCTGTCTATTTTTGATAAAGGCTATTTGTTGAGAATCTACCAGCTTGTGAATCACCATCTTCAATCTCTCTGTTAGAACCTTTGAGATGACGACTTATAGGTCTGTAATCCTTCAACTCCTCAGCTCCAACTTTTTTAGGGATTAATGCTACATAAGTAGCATTGAAACTTTTTTCAAAATATTCTTGAGAATGAAAATTTTGAAAAGTTTTAACCAAATTTGCTTTTACCACATCCCAACAATGAATGAAGAAACACATGGTATACCCATCTGTGCTTTGTCTGGTGCACAAGCCTTGAGACCCTCTAAGATTTCATTTTCATCAAATTCTCTTTGTAGCCATCATTCCTCTTCGTCATTAGTTTTTGGGCAATCTTGGCATGCAAAATCAGGCCTCCAACCTTCCGGCTCAGTGTACAACTGCGGGTAGAAATCCAGAATCTCCCTGTTAATCACATTCATATCACCAACTAAAGTCTCATTGATAATTAGCTTATCAATAGTATTGAACCTCCTGTTAGCATTAGCCACTCTCCGAAGAAATTTGGTATTTTTATCTCCCCGCTTTAACCATTGAACTCTAGATTTTTGCCTCCAAGATGACTCCTCGTTTTTAGCAATGTGTTCCAGTTCCATATGCAAACCAGCCTTCTGTAATAATCATCTTCGTCAAGGTCCCTGATTTCTTGTGCTAAATCGAGTTCTAGGATCTTGTTCAAGCAATTATTTTTCATAACCTCCAGATTGCCCCCTTGTGCTATGTTCCAATCTCTCAATTTGCCTTTAAGCAATCCGAGTTTCCTGGCAAGTATAAAGTTAGGTTTGCCCTGATTATTGAAGGAGGACCACCAAACTGTTATTTTGTCTTTGAATCCCTCTTTCCCTAACCCTCAATTTTCAAACTTGAAATAGGACTTATTGCTTTCCCAGTCACCACATTGTAGAGATAAAGGAGTATGATCAGAGGCAACCTTAGGAAGAACAGATTGCTTGATATTTTTGAAAGTCATCCCGCTTAGAACAACAACAACAAACACAGTGCAACTGCAAGTGGGTTTGGGGAGGGTAATGTGTATGCAGACCTTACCCCTACCTTATGAAGATAGGGAGGCTGTTTCTGGTAGACCCCCGGCTCAAGAAACAGTGAAAATAAAGCAACAAACAATTGCAACAATAAGGTAATAGGGTAGCGGAAGCGAATGACACAACATGTAATAATAATGAACCAGGAATAAGAAAATACAAAAATAGTACTAGTACTGGTCTATCGAGGGTCATGTACTCGGTAAGCTGAAACAATGATATGTCCTGCCTAATCACCTCACCCCAGTACTTCTTTGGCCTACCCCTGCCCTTCCTCAGACCCGCCATGGTCAACCTCTCACACCTCCTAACCAGGGCAGCTATGTCTCGTCTCTTCATATACCCGAACCATCTCAGCCTTGATTCCGGCAACTTGTCCTCCACAGGGGCTACTCCCATCATGTCCCTAATAACTTCGTTCCTAATCTTGTCTTTCCTAGTTTGCCCACACATCCATCTCAACTTCCTCATTTCAACTACTTTCATCTTCCCACTCACAAGAGAACAAAGATCTGTCAATCCTTGAGGAAGTACGTGAATTTTCTCTCCTGCTCCAAGTGAAGATTCCCCCTATAAGTGGGGGATCATAGAGTTCTAAGTCCTCAATGAACTTAGTGAAATCCCTCATAGCTCTTGTTACTCTATAACAATCCCTCCTTTGCTCCATGAATCTTGTTACATTAAAGTCCCCACAAATAACCCATGGACCTTCACAGACTCCTCTGGATGCAAGCTAGTTCCCACCAAACATTCCTTCTCTCGATTCTGCAATGAGGCCCATATACCCCAGTCATATGCCATGAAAAATTTTGCACCACAGAATCAAACTTGTAAGTAATCGTGTAGCTTCCTACATTAATCATTTCCCCTCTCCATACCCTATTATCCAGTGGCGAAACCAGGAAATTCAATAAGGGGCACCCTTTGCCAGTGGGCTATGCAAGGGTGTTCAAAGACTATTTTTAATCAATAACAAGTAATATTTTACCTTATACATAGTATAATTTTTCGGCGAAGGGTGGTCAGTTGACGACCACCCTTGGGCCAACATAGCTTCGCCCCTGCTACTATCCCATATCACTAGAATTCCTCCCCTATTCCCATTGGCCTCCAAACACCCAAATTTAACCCATCTATTTGACCATAGTTGTTTCACAAATCCCTGTACATCCCCTTCCAGCTTGGATTCTTGTAAACAATATATATCTGCCATCCACTTCTCAATTAGCAATTTAACAACTCTTCTTTTATCCCTACGATTCAATACCCTAACATTCCATGAAATAATATTAATCTTCATTGATAACTGCCGCATACGGATTTCCCCCTGTTCTTCGAGCTAGACTCTGGAATATTCATGTGAAAGACCAAATTTTGAACTTCCAGACTACCTTTGTTCCTCTTTGGAGTCATGCTTGTCTTCAACATAGTGTCCTCTCTCCTTTCTTTCTCACTTGTTTTATCTTTTTCACTTGTTTAAATTCATTTTTTGTTTTACCATTATGTGTTGTATATATGTTGTTAATATTGTGTTGAACATAAACCTCAATTCAACAAAAGTATTGTTCGAACGACAATAGTTCTTCTAATATATCAAATATTCAACTTGACTGTTTCTTTATTTTTAGATACTTCAAAAACACACTTTAAATGTGTATGTGCAATGTCGACTACGGTTGCAAATGTTTCACGTCTTAAAGTTTCTGCTTTGTCTTTAAGAAACCATAGCTTCCTTTTTTACCACGGCGTACATATAAAGAAATGTTGTCGAATAAAAATAATATTTTATAGAAGCTGTACAGAAATTCGATTAACATTTATTTTATAGAAGCTGTACAAAGATAAGAGATTGGCTTACTGAGTGAATTGGCAACGCGGAATTTCTTTGTGGACGCACAATGATGAAAAGCGATGAAGCATTGATCGAAAAAAGAGTGTAGAAGAAAGAAGCCATGTTTGTCTTCCTTGTGAATAAATTGATATTGCCAAAGCTTGTCGCCTAATTAAGTATTGCTGCTGTGGGGTTTGAAACAGTGGCAACTCTTCTGCATGCGTTATTTTGTTTTCCCTTTTTCAAGAGTTAGTTTCTTTTTTTAAGTAGGGTAGTTTTAGATTTAAGAAGGGCATTAAAGTAATTTAACCCTTTTAATTTAGGGATTCTTACTTTTAATATAATATAGATATAGATGTACATACATCTATAATCAACTGGAATAATAGGAAGGGCATGCATGATAGATTTCTGTTTAATGCTTTGTTTGGTTTTATAACCTTTCCATTGTGTTCTCACCTACAACCATGTTTTTAGAGGCAAGAAGCACAAAAAAAGCAACAAGGTCCATGGGGCTTGAAGCGAAAAGCGAGAAATGAAGCGCACAAGTTACAGAAAATTTTAAAAACACCAAAAATGTACGGATAGAGTATTATAATGATCAAATTGCAAAGAAAATAGCTAATTTTAACATCCAGTTTACGAGAATGCTGATATTAATCCAATTCCTCAAAGTTGAGATTCAAAGAATCAACTTTTCTTGTTAGGATCAACTTGGTGTCCTTGTTTGAAGCGTACACTTTTTTAAAGCGCTTGGCTTCGCCCATGAAGCAGTAACCTCTCGCTTTGCATTACTTTAAAGGATGATGCAAGGGCTTTCAATAACACTGCCTAAAACAGATATCAAATCCAATTTTGTGATTACAAGCTTTTCTTGATGCATCTTGCCCTTAACGTTTTTCTACTCATTCTTTTCATATTGCAGGAAATGATGGGACTGACCTACTTCATGTTGGATCAGTCGAGAAAGGATGGTGAATATTGCATGGAGAATGCATTTACCACATATTTAGTATGTACGCATCCCTCTTCTGTGTCAGTTATATCAACTATACTCTGGTCTGTCATTTTTACTTCAGTTGTCTTTTTAGTTTCTTCACCAGCGACCACTGAAAAAAAGAAAAAAGGAAGAGAATGTATTTAACGATTTTTAATATTTCTGGGTATAAAAGTTATTTTTTGAAAATCAAGGAAAAAATGGTAGTATTCACTGCCCCTAATTGTTTAGAAACCTATTTTTTATAAGGTCTGCGTGTTAGGCTCTTTAAGTGACGTAGCAACTTCTGACAAAAGTAAGTTTTATTGGCCTCTTTGTAGTTTATTTAGGTAATGATATTATGGATCAAGTGTTTTTCTATTATTGTTGCTGCTTCTTTTGTACTTTTTGGCTTATTATTGGCCTTATATGATTGGTATAATATGATCTAAGGTTTTGTATGGTTTTGGTAGATCGATGACACATAATTTCTTTGCAGAAAATCGGATCATCGGGTCAGAGAAATGCTACACGTTGTGGTCTATGGTGGGTAGAGATGTTGAAGGGCAGAGATCAGTATAAGGAGGCTGCCAGTGTATACTTCCGTATCTCTGGTGAGGTAATGCCCAATTTTTGACATTTTGGTGGATGACAATCTTTATTTCCTGTTCTGAAGAGGTTTATTCTTTAGGAACCCCTCCATTCAGCAGTAATGCTCGAGCAAGCATCCTATTGTTACTTGTTTTCCACTCCCCCCATGTTGCGCAAGTACGGGTTTCATCTTGTTCTTTCTGGGGACCTGTATAAAAAATGTGATCAGGTATTTGTTCTCACCCAATCATGCATATAGCTGCTTAAAATGCTGTGATCTTCTTGTTACCATTTTCAAAAAGTTGCAGTGATCTAGAGTATAACTATTTCTTCTGTCTCCATTATCAGACAAAACATGCAATTCGAACATACAAAGGCGCTCTTTCTGTTTTTGAAGGAACTACATGGAGGCACATTAGAGACCATGTTCATTTCCACATAGGGAAGTAAGTTATTAACAACCTCCTTGTTTTTGCAAAATCGTACCTAGATCGTAATAGTCCTGTCTACAGACAAACTGCTCAGAAAAGCAGTTGATAGTTACCATTGTCCCCATGGCTACTTGTTGATGTCTTTCTTCCTCTAACTCTCTAATTGCCTTTGGTTATGGCATATCCTTGTACTAATCTAGCAAAAGATCTCCTCCCTCCGCTGTTACTTGTTACAATCGTTAAAGATAGTTAATAGCATTAGGGAAATAGGGGGCAATGTAATAAGGTTGTCATTTTATTCAGGTGGTATGGTTTCTTGGGGATCTGTGATGTTGCTGTTAAAAATATGTTGGAGGTTCTAGCTTGTGGTCATCAATCTAAGACGACACAGGAGTTATTCCTAAAGGATTTCTTTCAGATAATTCAGGTAAGCATTAGTTTTGCGTCCTGATATTCTCCTGTTTCTTACAGCCTCTGTCTTACCGATGAACTCCCCACCTGGTTGGTTCCTGGAAAGATTATCAACTTCAAAACAATGTTGTTAGTGCATTTGTTGATAAATATTATTCTCTACAGTCAAACTGGTTATATATCACAGATCATTAGATCACCAGTTAAAAGGTCATGGAGTTCTGGATTTACAGGTGTACTGGTTGCTTACTTTCCTTGCGGAGATTAATAGCCTGTTTGGCCAAGCTTCTCCAAAGCCAAAAGCACTTTTCAAAAAATGTGCTTTTTTTCAAAGTTGTAGTGTTTGGCCAAGCTTTTAGAAGAAAAAAAAGTGCTTTTGAGTAGAAGCAGAAGCAGTTTTAGAGAAGCAAAAAAAAGTAGCTTCTCTTCAAAAGCACTTTTTTGAAAATCACTTTTGAGAAAAATACACATAGAAGCACTTTTTAAAAGCTTGGCCAAATACTAAATGTTGCTCAGAAGTGCTTTTCAAGTTGATTAGCCAAACACAAGCTGCTTCTCAGCAAAAGTACTTTTGAGAAAAGCACTTTTGAGAAAAAGTACTTCTCAAAATAAGCTGATTTTTGCAGCTTGGCCAAACAGGCTATAAATTACCATGTACCGACTCTAATCTTTTGAACAATCAGGACTTAGAAACAGAATTCAGATGAAATTTCAATTTAACACATCCAATGGAAGTTAGATGCTAGTGACTTTATATAGTAATTCACAGACCAGAAGGAAAAAAGATTCCTTGATTGCAGGATGCGATGCTTCTAGATTTAAACTGAGCAGTTTAATTTAGCCCACTATTGGCTTTAAAAAATGGTAATTGCTAAAGATTGCCGAAGATAATTTGGTGTGCTAGTATTTATTAGCTTCAGCATTGCCAGAGACAATTTTCTTGACTTTTGTTTTTAATTATCTAGACTAGATAAGCATCCACAATGTCGAGTTTTTCTTTCTCAGGTATACCGAGAAAAAAATTTGACATGTGGAATAGTTCTCTCAATATAAATTCATACCTCTATTTAGATTTTGACTTCAGTTAATCTTGGTTTGTAACAGCCATTTCTGTTTAATTTGAATTATTTATGGATTAGTCGACAAGTGTGTGAAACATACACTGGTTGCTTTACAAGAGTTAACATATGTTCTGTTTTTTCTCTCATCTAGTTTTGTTGAGATTGGTTTTTTTCTCTCATCTAGTTGTGTTGCCTATTTTTAGTCATTATCATTCTTGATCCGAAAGCTAAGTTGTCCTTGTTTATTCTTTTATTTTGTAATATTCTGAAGCAAACAGGCAGAACATATGAGGTTCCAAAGCTTCAGTTACCGGTAATCAACATCCCTTCAGTCAAAGTGGTTTACGAGGATCATCGTACCTATGCATCCCAAGCAGCTGTAAGCTAATTAGAACTTTTTCAATCTTTTAGTTTTTTCTATTTGTTTGTCGTTTCCTTTTCTTTCCGTTCTTTTGTTTTCTGGAATTTGTTAAATGCCCAAGGCCTTTTGACTTGTTATTCTGTTCTGGAATCCATGCCCAAGGCCTTTTGACTTGTTACTCTGTCCTTCATCAGGTTTAAGTCAGCGAGTGATGTAAATTTTTGCCGCTACTTAATCATGCATGCCTAGCCTTCCTATTCAATGGTCTCTTTCATTACTGTTGCCTTTTGTCTGCCCTTGATTATGTGTTTACCCTTAGTTTCCAGCCATTGATCCACTGTGTTCTTCCTCATATTCTTGCATTCATGTTACTGTCAGAGAATACAACAACAACTACAACTAACCTAGTGGGATCGCACAAGTGGGGTCTGGGGAGGGTAACATGTACGCAGAGCCGCAGACCTTACCCCTACTCTGGGAAGGTAGAGAGGCTCCGAAAGACCCTCGGCTCGAGAGGAAGGATAGAAACAAGCAAATATCAACAACAAGGCCAGGAAAATGATACCAACAATGTATGAACCAGACAAAATAGATGGAAGAAAGCAATAGCAATAGCAATAGCAACAAGCAGTAACAACGACAAGGTACTAGAAAACCGAAGCAGGAGATATTACGAAAGCAACCCTAATACTAGCACTCTAAGAACAACGACAAGGTACTAGTAGACTAGCCCTAATAAACCCGGAACGGACCAGAGAAACACACTACGACCTAATACCCTTCTACCGTAATCCTCGACCTCCATACCCTCTTATCAAGGGTCATGTCCTTGGTAAGTTGAAGTCGCGCCATGTCCTGCCTGATCACCTTTCCCCAATACTTCTTAGGCAGCCCTCTACCTCTTCTAATACCCGCCAGAGCCAAACATTCACACCTCCTCACTGGGGCATCTAAGCTTCTCCTTCTCACATGCCCGAACCATCTAAGCCTCACTTCTCGCATCTTATCCTCCATTGGGGCCACACCTACCTTCTCCCGAATATTCTCATTCCTAATCCTATCCAACCTAGTGTGCCCGCACATCTATCGCAACATCCTCATCTCAGCTACGTTCATCTTCTGGATATGGGAGCTCTTGACTGGCCAGCACTCTGCCCTGTACAACATAATCGGTCTAACCATCGCCTTGTAGAATTGACCTTTAAGTTTTGGTGCTACATTCTCATCACACAGGACGTCGGATGCTAACCTCCATTTCATTCACCCCGCCCCTATACGGTGTGTGACATCCTCGTCAATTTCCAGTTCCCTTGGATAATTGACCCAAGATACTTGAAACTACCTCTTTTGGGGATGACTTGCGAGTCAAGCCTTACGTCTATATCCTCTCCCCCCGTCACGACACTGAACTTGCACTCGAAACCTTTACTCTCTAAGGTTTGTCTCCAAACCTGTAACTTCTCGTTCACACCGCCTCACGTGTCATCAATCCGTACTATATCGTCAGCGAATAACATACACCATGACACCTCTCCTTGAATATGACGTGTCAGTGCATCCATCGCCAAAACAAATAAGAACGGGCTGAGCGCAGATCCTTGGTGTAACCTCCCACTGTCCTCACCCGAGTCTTAGCTCTATCATACATGTCCTTAATCACTCTAATGTATGCTACAGGAACACCATTAGCCTCCAAGCATCTCCAAAGGACCTCCCCGGGACCTTGTCGTACACTTTCTCTAGGTCAATAAACACCATATGCAAATTCTTTTTCCTATCCCTGTACTGTTCCACTAACCTCCTAACAAGATGGATGGCTTCTGTAGTTGAACGTCCCGCCATGAAACCGAACTGGTTCTCGGAAATAAACACAGTCCTCCTAACCCTCGCTTCCACCACCCTCTCCCAAACTTTCATAGTATGACTAAGCAACTTGATACCCCTATAGTTGTTATAATTTTGGATATCACCTTTGTTCTTGTACAACGGGATCATCGTACTCCACCTCCACTCCTCGGGCATCTTTTTCGTCCTAAAAATAATGTTGAATAGCCCAGTCAGCCACTCCAAGACAACCCTACCCGCATACCTCCAGAATTCAATCGGAATCTCATCTGGTCCGGTCGCTCTTGTCCTGCTCATCTTATGCACAACCCCCGCGACCTCCTTCAAACTAAAGCGCCTACAATACCTAAAATCACGATGACTCTCGGAGTGCTTCAAATCGCCCAGCACAATGTTCCTATCCCCCTCTTCATTCAAGAGTTCATGGAAGTAAGTCTGCCACCTTCGCTTGATCTGTGCCTCTTCCATTAAAACTCTGCCTTCCTTGTCTTTGATGCACCTCACTTGGTCCAGATCACGAGCCTTCCTTTCTCTCACCTTGGCCAGCCGAAACAACTTTTTGTCCCTGCCTTTGTCCCTCAGTTCTTCATACAAACGAGCAAACGCTGCAGTCTTAGCCTCCGTGACCGCTAGCTTCGCCTCCTTCTTTGTCTTCTTATACCCTTCTTTGTTGGTCATCTTCTCCTCCTCGTCCGTGCTCTCTACAAGCTTCAAATATGCCGCTTTCTTAGCTTCTACTTTCCTTTGGACTTCCTCATTCCACCACCAGTCCCCTTTGTGGCTGCCGGCGTAACCTTTAGAGACCCCTAACACCTCTCTCGCGCCTCCCTAATGCAGTTCGCCGTCCACGTCCACATACCACTCACGTCCCCACTACTCCTCCAAGCACTTACAACCAACATATTCTCTTGCAACTCTTGAGCCTTATCCTTAGTCAAGACTCACCACTTGATCTTCGAACGACCCCACCCAACCCTCTTCTTCCTCATCATCACGATGTCCAAGTCCGTCACCAAAATCCTATGCTGGGTCGCGAGGTTCTCACTCGGGATAACCTTGCAGTCAGTGCACAGACCTTTATCATACCTCCTAAGAAGGAGATAATTGATTTGGGTCTTGGCCCCCGTACTCTGGAAGGTAACCAAGTGCTCATCCCTCTTCTGAAAGCTCGAGTTCACTATCACCAAATCAAACGCCTTCTACTGTTAGGGAATACACTGAAAACATTTTTGCAAGTCTGGGCTAACGTTGCAGAGTCTCGTTAATGTAATAAACTGTAACATTTTAATCTTGAAATCCTCTACCTAATTCTATATCTGCCCAGAGTTCATTAATTGTTTCTTCTGATGGTCACAGTTACTGTCCTGATTTTTGTCACAAATCCTCTCCAAAAATTGTGCGCATGAATGATTTCATGTTTTAACTTGATGAGTTGGCAAACTTGTGATTTGTCTTTGCATTCGACTTGCCTGTAACACTCTATAATAGAATTTGTTGACGATCTGCATCAGCTAATGTTCTTTTCCACTTTTTCAATTTGAAAAACATAAAAAATATATTATTCATAGTATTATCCAAGATATGAAACGATCAAGCATCTAGTTACTGAGGTAAGTTCGTAAAACAACATTTATTCTAAACCTGCTGTTGCTAATCGATAATAACATCTAAGACGTATGAGCCCAAAACATTATGTATCCTGGGAATATATTCTAATTTGGTTTAGGACATTCCTGTTGCTTACAATTGTTAAAGAAAATAAAATGTTTTGCACCATGAAATATCTTTGTTTTCTAGTAATGCGTGTCCCAGTATCCTCATTGGACGTGTTACTTTGTGTTCTTCGCTGCTTCTGGTTCAACGTATTCTTCGTGAAGATTGGGGAATCATTCCTCATCTCTTTGATAGTGACCGTTTTGTATGATCAACATTCTGGGTTTCCTCTCTTTGCCTTTTGCTGTTGGTTATTACTTCGCGGGTGTGCTTTTTCCGCTGTATAATTTCTCAGTTAATTACTGTAAATCTTCTAGCCTTCAAAGTTGCCCAATTAACAACTCCAGATGTGCATCTCATGAATGTCGTTAAAAAACCCTGCTTCTGAATCAACTATTCCACCTCGTAATGCTCAACACCATATTTTCAAATCCTTGACTCAATTACACACTTCTCTGGTCTTCACTTTTTTTATTTGTCTTTCTTGTTCAGTATTTTTATCTTTTCAACTCCACCCAGACTATTGTCTGTTACTGGTGTATGTATATAGGGTTAATTGAAGTCAATGAACAAAATCGAAGTTATTGGACTTAATTATGTAATTGCTTATATGTATTTATATATAATTTTAGTTCTTTAAAATTTCTGATACCATCTTTGTTGTTCTTCCTCCGTTTATTTTGGGGGAACTTCAGATTCATGTAAAAGAAAGTCTGTGGCGATCGTTAGAGGAAGACATGATTCCAACATTGTCAAGTAAGAGTAATTGGCTGGAACTGCAATCTAAAATTTTGCCAAAGAAGTTTAAAGAATCAAATATTTGTGTAGCTGGAGGTGAGTGAGATCCTATTTCACTGTTGATAAATTTGAATGTCTTACTCCTGTCTTTTGCTGATGAGCTTTTGTTATTAACCCATGGTTGAGTTTGTTGTGTCATTAAAAGATAGGCTGCAAAATGCATCTAAAAGGCATAATTTCGTCAAATTGTCTGGAATTTATAGATGGGATCAAAATTGAACAGGAATTTCCAGATCAATTCTAATATACCCTGAATTCCTTGACTGACTTATGATCTGTCTGATTTTTTTTATTTATGGAATTTTCTTGTAAGGATGATAAAAAAAACATGTACAGAAGAAGAACAAGGAGGTGGAGGATTAGCAATAGGTATTCCATATGAATTAATTTGTTTATTGGAGGGTAGAACTCGTAGTTACCATAATAGTAAGTTCAAGACAAGTCGGGGTGATTAGCAATGGCCTCAAATTAACGAATTTGATTTTCTCCAAGCAATACATACATTGGTTTTTTGCTTTTCTGCATTACCTTCTTGTTAATTTCCTAATTATCTGAGTTATTCTTGCTTCATTTTTGCAGAGGCGATTGGGTTAGCCATTGAATTCAAAAATCCACTCCAAATACCTGTTTCAGTATCTGGTGTTACCCTAATTTGTGAACATTCTCCAGCAGTATCTGAACCTAGTAAGTAGAATAGGCAGTTTAATGCCATCTTCTTTCTACTTGTCGAAAAAGAAAAATGCTATCTTCTTTCTACAACTCCATGCCTGCCCCAAAATTCTCACCCTTTTCTTTTGAGAGTCAATTTATTGAACTTTGACCACAATCTTAACAGCTTTATATTTCAAAAAGAAATAATTTTCCCCTGTAATAATTGTCATGTAGCTTTCAGATATCCAAATATTTTGTGCAATTTTTTTGTAGCAATGGTCAAATTTTCCTTCAAAAAGCATAAATTTAAGAGTTTTTGGTTGAAGAAATAACTTATTTTCATTCCCTTCCACCCGACAATAAAATTAATAAGCTTTTTCAGTTTGTTCCTTCACAAATATCGTCTCCCTTAATTCGACTATTGCAATATCCCCAATTACAGTAAGTTCTATTGTGAATGATGTAGATGCGAATAATTCAATTGGTGATCAAAATGGTGAGACATCTAACAAGTCAGCCACTAGTGGGTAAGTGTATAAAAACTTCCAGAGTTCGACTTTCCAGCTCGATTGTGTATTTTAAGATGAAAATTTTATCCCCTTTACACATGCTTATCATGCTGCTCATGTTGTTTGATCCTTCAGGAATTTTACTTCTGATACATCTTTATTTACATTATCTGAGGCTGACGTTGCCTTAGGAGATGGTGAAACAGTACTGGTGAGTTTTTGACAAGTAATTGAACATGTCTATCGGGCTGCTTGTAGATTTCATTTTTTCTTTTTCTTGTCCTCCCCGTTCTACTTGGGAGGGGTGCTTAAGCTGTTATTGGTAAAGATGGCATAATCTTTTTTTCTAGTGTAGTAACATAGGCGTAATAAACATCCACCGTCTAGCAACAAAGATTATTTATGAAAGACTGGAGCTTGTAAATTTGGGGCCTCAGCAAAATTCAAGTAGATGGAAGGAAGTGCTACATCTTCACTTTTATATCCTTTCCTCCACTGTTGAAGCTCTCCATTACCTTTTACATGGCTAATCAGTTAAATTGTCCAAAGCTTGGAGGTCCGAGGATTATGATTTCAGATTCAAATAGCACAAACTACTTTTCTATCTGATTTTTCAATTAAATTAGGGTTCACTATTGTGTTTTCTACTAACAAAACTTATCCCATCAATCTTTTTGCTTAAATCATGAACTAGACTTGCCCTTTGCCTTGCTCTCTGTTGTTTGCTGGTCAAACAGACAAAGCATTAGCTGCACGCGGAGTACTTCCTTTTCATTCTTACATTAAACTACCAGTTCTATTTGCGTATTTTTAATGGTAAGGAAATAGTAATTTGCTGTATGTTGATTGCCTCTTTCCTAAATCTCTCTCTCTGTGTGTGTGTGTGTGTGTGTGTGTGTGTGTAGTACTTCTATATATCTAGTTTTATGATGCTGTAAGAACTGAGGATTTAGGTTTTTCTTTGTAGATATTGGTTTAATCAGAATGCGAGTAACATTGAAAAAACTAGCCATTTTGTCCATGACTTGTCTGAAAGAATTCGAGTATTCAACTCAAAACCTTAAGGCAATAAGTGGAGTAACCCAAGGTCTTTATATACTCCCTCCAGCACGTGTAACTTCATTTCGGGGTTCACACATAAACTTCGATGCGGACTTACATAAGTGAGAATGGACTAACCAAAAGTTTGTATCGGCCAAAAGTTGGCTATGATGCCATGCAATAGAATTTGAGCATCCAACTCAAAACCTTTAGGCACAGGAGGAAGTATCCCAAGACCCTTATAGATCTCTTTGGAAGCCCTTAAACAATCAATTTCGTACAACTATATAACTCGACACACTAAGGTGTTTTATGGAAAATTATAGGTCTAGCATGGTTTATTCCTTTTATGTTGAGGTTGCACCTGTTATGCTTAGCAGGATGCCTGTAGTTTCTTTGGTGGCCATTGCTCCTTCTTTGTTGGGAGGAAAGATCTGTACCTTCTTTTGCAAGTGAGTTGATGACTTTGACGTTCATTTTCTAGTAATGAGATTGTCCGTCTTGGGACACTTCAATGAAGAAACCATAGCAGAGGAGTTGTTGGATTTTCTGGAGGCATTAAAGGGAGGGAAAAGATAGAAACGTGTAAGAGAGCGGGGAAAGAAGGGCACAAATTTGAGATAGAGTTGGGGAAGCCGGAGACTTATGCTATGTTTGCTCAACTGCTGGGAACTGAAGTCAATGAGAAAATGGGAGCGGTGGTTTCACTGTTATAATTAGTTCTCTCTTTGAAGATACTTATTATGGGCTGACCCAAAGCCTTTGACCAGAGTCTTTTAAATTTCAAAATCATTGTTAATTATGCAGTTAAATGTATAACATCATGTTTCTTTGCTAATATTTCCCAAAAAAAAAAAAAGATATATCACCAGTGAGTACATGTAGCATTACACTAGATTTCTGTACACTCGAAGCGTTTGGAACAAAAACAGAATAGCTAACTCTAGTGCCCGCGATGAAGAATTGGGGCTCACTGATGCTAGAAGCACTAGCTTCTACTTGTTCATCTATGGGTCTAAATCTGTGTCTGTAAAACACGAAAGTGAGGAGTAAGTCTACTGACCCAATGAGCAAGTTGATAAATGATCACTATAGTCAGACTCAATAGAATTTGATCAATCCTATTTTCTGTCGTTAAGGTCGAAAACTGAACCAATAATCATCCTTGTCTGTTGGGACAAGAATTTAAACATGCTTGTACTAGTACTTCTGAAAAAGGCATTCACAATCCGTAATGAAAGTAAATTTGTTCCCCGTTACTCATTTCTGAATCTAAAACAAATATCATGTTCATATTTTGATGGATAATCACATCTCAAGAGTCAGAAATCATGAGCATCAGGGATTCTATTTCAGCAGTCCAATCCCAACCCGATTGGCTAGGTATCCATGCTATGTACTTTCTCATCCGGATCCGATAGGCTAGGTATCCATGTTACATACTGAATACAACAATAGTTATTTTTGTTTAAATAGTATTGTTATATGCTTATATTGCACAAATGAGGTAGAAAATAATTAACATATAAAATACAAAAGGTTACCTATCAAAGGAAGGTTTTTGAATTATGGAAAGAATGGACTTTGGAGCAAAGCACATACTAACGTGCATGCTTGAATGAGAGATGCAATATAAGTCAGGAATGTGGTGCTTTAGCTATTAAGATTTTCAAATGGCGGTGGTGGTAGGTTTCTAGAATGTTTAGGAGTTGAGTCTTGGATGCTTAATCATTAAGTAGTCAAGTAAATCATTATTCTAGAAACCTCATTTTTTCCTAGTAAGACCAATTAGAAAATATTTCTGTCATTATTATATATATATTAATTTTTACATTTTGAAGGTGAGTACTTTGTTAGTTAATTCTTATATGCCACTTCCTCTTGGTACTGGTTGAAGAAGGTAAAACATCTAGGAATATTTTATGTCAATTTCTTATGGTAAATCTAGTCTCAAAAGAGCATGTTTATTATACCACTCTATTCCAAGTAAGGATAAACAACAACTATGCCATAATACCGAGCAAGTTGGGGAGAAAACGTAATATAATTTTCTTGTAAGAAAACAATTACACTTCAGTCCCAATAGTAGATATCACCTATATGGATCTTTTCTTTCATTGTGTCCTATCTTTAGCCAAGTTTGTATTGATTCTAAGAATTTGTAGGTCTTTTGAGACAATTTTCCTTTCATGTGATTTTTGATTTACCTCATTCCATTTTAACACCTTCACTCACTATAATTTCACACCTACGTATCGGTGTATCTGGGTCGACCTAGGACATGACTAAACCATCTCAAGCAACCTACTCTCATTTTTATCCTTAATGTGTGCTACTTGTATCTCTTAGCGGATGTGGTCATTTTTAATAGTATGTAATCTTGTATGGATGCACATCTATCTTAGCATCCGCATCTCTGCAATACTCATCTTGTGGATATGTTGGTCATTGGTGGCCATATGCTCACTACCATATAATATTGCCGATCTTATAGCTATTCTGTAGAATTTACCATTCACTACAGTAGGCTCTATCACAAAACACCCTTTCAATCCAGTTTAATTTAGGGGTGGCAAATGGGCTGTTTGGGCTGTATTTGGGCTGGTCAAGATGGGCTAACTCATTAGATGGGTCATTGCCCAACCCTCCTCAAAGTTCACTTGGGTTAAGATGGGCTGGGTTAAGATGGGCTAAACAATGGGTTGTAGCCCAACCCGCCCAAATTGATACAAGTCTTTGCAATATTTTCAACTCTTAAACAAGCATATATAAAATATTCTCACAAATATATAATGATTTTTATTTTCATTTTTCGTAAATATCATTTTGGAATGGTTTATGATGTTGAAATTTTTTCTTTTTTTCCTGTTGCTTCTTGTCTTATGTTTTGGAATAAATGCCAATTCATACCTAATGATTTCTTTCCTCAATTTAGATTTAGAACTTTATTGTTCTTTATCTTATTATCCAACAAAGATCAGAATAAGTACTTTCTTTTCATGACGTGGAAAAAATATTTTCTTTTTCACAAAATGAGTACTTTCTTTTCATGTTATAGAAAAAGTATTTTATTTTATTTCAACAAAAAGAGTACTTTCATTTCATGTTGTAGAAAAAGTATTTTCTTTCATTTCAATAAAATGAGTACTTTCTTTTCATGTTATAGAAAAAGTATTTTCTTTCATTTCAATAAAATGAGTACTTTCTTAAAAAATATTTGTAGAGGGGGAGGGGAAGGGGGACACGTGAAACATGGGGATTTGGGTGGAGGGGGGTTGAGGAGAGTAGCATAGAAAATTATTTTCCTAAAAACTATTTTCTACTCTCTGACCAAACACTAGAAAATATTTTACGGAAAAAGTTTTCCACTCACCAACCAAATATGAGAAAATAAGTGATGAAATCACTCATTTTCTAGGAAAATATTTTTCAGGAAAATATTTTTTAAGGAAAACATTTTCCTTCATCCCCAACACATCCTTCGAAGCTTTAAAGGCAATTGCTATTCATGGGTCAGTTTGGGCTGAAATCATGGGCTGATTTGGGCTATTGAAAATAAATGGGTTTAGTTGGGTTGTGTCCAAACTTAACCCATCACTAAAGTAGCTCATGCCCAACCCATTAAAACCTGGGTGGGTTGGGCGAGTCAAATAGGTTTGGGCTACTTTTGCCACCCCTAGTTTAATTCTATGAGTAACATATCCATCTATCATTTCATTCTCTTGAAATAATGAGTCTAGATATCTAAATTGTTTGCTTTTTGACACCCCAATCCTGTCTAGTTTCACCTCAACTTTGCTCTTCTCCTACTAGCTAAAATTGCAATGGATGTATTTTGTCTTACCTCTACTTATCCTAAATTTCTTACTCTCTAAAGTGCTTCTCTATAGTTCAAGCCTTTAGTTGACACCCTAGTTTGTTTCGTCAATTAACACTATATCGTCAGCAAATAGCATACACTATGAGACCTCATCTTGTATGATAACTAGGGTAAACAAGGGGCTCATTGCTGATCCCTGGTATGGACCCACTGTTACCAGAAACTCCTCTGTGTATCTCCAACTGTTCTCACGCTAGTGACAACTCCTTCATGCATGTCCTTTATGGCATTTGTATACATAAAACATGCTCAGGATAGGGTTATTACAGAAGTACTATGTAGGAATAGATTATTTCTTGGAGATGACTGTGCGATATCTAGGTTTATGGATAGGGGGATAACATTTCTTTGATTGAAGTATCACTGTTTGTTTCTTGATAGCGGTGATGTCCGGATTAGGTTATGCGCATTTTGTCTAATCCAGGGTTAACTTGTTACCTCCCCCCAGTTCGGGTATCAGGAAACGCTGGCCGCCAAGATATATGCAAATGGGAGAAAATCACCTGGTGTTTGCTGGGATTTGAACTCTGGTCTCAAGAGCCTTTATTACCACTTCATTGATCACTAGGCCGCACCCTTGGGTGCAGTTCTGTGTTGCTGTTCCAGCATCTTATACGCATTTCTTGCTTTCAGTATCAGCATGAGTCTGATGTGCCGTGGTTATAGTTCACGTCTGTCATGTTAATTATCATAATTCTGTTTCAACTTTCAGGTACAGCTAACAGTTACTCCAAGAGCAGAAGGTACTCTAAGGATAGTCGGTATAAGATGGAAGCTGTCAGGCTCCGTGGCAGGATTTTGTACTTTTGATTCCGACTTAGTCAGAAAGAAAGTTGTGAAAGGAAACAGGAAATCTAAACGATCTACAATCGATAACCTGAAGTTCTTAGTAATAAAGGTGATTTCTTCCTTCCAAGTCTATGCATTTATTACATGTGATGCAGCCAGTTTAATATCTTTTAGCATTTATTTTTAACTTGGATGGCCACATTTACATTTCTATATGACTTGACCATATGCAGAGTCTACCGAAGCTTGAGGGCGTCATTCATCACCTCCCCGAAACAGTTTTTGTTGGGGATTTGCGGTGTATTACTCTGGAGTTGAAAAATCCATCTAAAATTCCAGTTAAAGTATGGTTCTTCTTTTGCAGCATGTAAAGCATTTCCTCATGTCTGAACGTCAGAGAGAGAAACATGCCTAGGTTTTGTTTTCCCCTAAATGTGATCAACTAATAAAGATGTAGAATGCACTTCAATAGAGATTGGCTTATCTTAGCTGATCTTAGCAGCGCAATTGTTGCTGTTGCATTGGCTGAAAATGGGTCGTGATTCAAAAGGCAGTTTTCATACCTTCCCTAATATTTGGGCAAAGAAAGCTCGTTAGGCAGGACTCCGCAGAAGCAGAGGCCTATATTAAATTTGGGAGAGGTGCATTGCCTTGCTGTTATATCTTGGAGGATATTCTATGCGAAACAGTAATTCTCAAATACAGAATCACTGTAACTATAACTAAGGCTGGCAATGAAGTTTGGAAATGTAAGGGGAGGTTCTCTTGTTCATAGAGACTCAGCATTTACAGCTAAAGAAGTAGGAAACTGAAGAGCAACTCTTGGGAAAAAAATTTCCTTCGATGCCATCACCTTCATATAAAATATAACTATATATTTTCTAAGCCAAGTAGCAGAGTTACCAGCTAATCTACCAAACTGCATATCTTCAATTGCTATTGTGACCACCTAATATATTTCTGGGTTAAGCATCTGATATGTCTTAATAAGAATCTGCCCTACTACAAGCGAATAGGTTACAGGTCTGATTCACCAAATTAACGTATAGTCACCGACATCAATGTTTTTAGATACATATAAATTAAGCCACATGTGTATTCTAAATGTATACATGCATTTTATTGCATGAAGATGAACTAGCATTTATGGTTGTTAAACTAGCAATATCAATTTGGAGCATCATATTGGATTGAAGTTAGAAAAATTTCTAGTTCTAATGATGATAGCTGTAATGTCCTGGCAGAAGTTAAAGATGAAGGTCAGTCCACCAAGATTTCTCCAAATTGGACACAAGAAAGATTTGGAAGTTCAGTTTCCTGCTTGCTTGGAAAGGAAAAGTTCAAGACAAAGTTCTTTGAGGTCAAAGACTGATAAAGTAACAGATGACATTTTTCTGTTTCCTGAGGTGAGTGCGGGCTAAAGATGTCAGCCATCTACATTTTAAGCTGGGATCAGATCCCTATATTTTATGCCTTTTATTTTGTTTTCTAGGACACAGCAATTGCGGATGGAGCTCCAATCTCATGGCCTCTCTGGCTTAGGGCTGCAGCTCCCGGAAAGATATCCTTACATTTAGCAGTATACTACGAGATGGGAGACATATCAAGTGTTATGACATATCGTACCTTACGCTTGCACTTCAATATAGAGGTTGATACCTGTTATTTGCTAGATATTGATTGTGTAGATTTGTTACTAATGTTGCCAGTTGAGACTAGTATCACAATCTGAGCAAGTATTATTAGATTTACAGTTTTTTTTTCGTCTTCTCAGCTGGTGTGTGTATTGTTCTGAAGTATGAGATGCTTTTCCAAAATTCTCTTACAAGTATTTGGAGTATTTTCCTTGCTGTGAAGTATCTTATATATCATTTGATAGGTACTACCATCTTTGGATGTTTCTTTCCAAATCAGTCCTCGTCCATCTAGACTGCGGGAGTTCCTTGTCCGAATGGATATTGTCAATAGGTCTAGCTCAAAAGGCTTTCAGGTTCACCAATTGTCATCTGTTGGAAATGAATGGGAGATATCATTGCTCGAACCAACCAAGGTCCTCCCTTCAGATTCTCTACTTGCTGGTCAAGCAATTTCATGGTTTTTCAAGCTCAAGGTTAGAAATGGAGCGTTTCCTTGGTTTGTTTACTAATTTGACGCAGTCCTACTTCAGCTTCCCAGATATATCCCCTATCTGATATTGGGATTCATTTTTATTTTTATTTTTTACCTATCAAATAGTTGCTTTTGCTTTATATAATGGAATTCATTTTTGCTAACAGAATTGTAGATTGGTAACTGATGAAGACTGTGTTTCTTCTCTTCGCCCTCTGGAGAAGGCAGACGTCAACTTGCTCCGCGGCAGTGAAATGCTTTTTGATCTATACAGCTCTCCCTTGTCAGAATTTCACCATTATGAAAGAGTACATCAGAGAATGTTGGATCAGGTTCATTCATTATTTTGCTGTGTTCCTCAGTAATTAGGGAAGTATTTAAATTGTCATCAATACCGATTAAGAGTAAATTATTTTCATCATCTTTCCTTGCCCTTCGCTGTGGAATATATTCCTGGTTCTACAGTAGGGAAGTCCTGTAATTCCTCAAAGGATTATTAATTGTGTGGTTCTAGGGCTTGTAGTGGTAGTTGAACTATAAACAGCTGCTAGAGTACTAAATGGACAGTTGGAACTTGGAATGATTGATACTTCTGATTGCTCCGTGGTTCAGAGAAATAAATTTGTCCTACTATTATATTTCTGAGTTCACTTGGCTTTTATATTTATGACCGGGAAATGGATGTATAGTCCCTTACTATGCCTTAACGCTGTACTTAAACATTTCTTTTTATTTGAATTGATCAGGAGCATGAAGACACAGTAGACTTTATATTGGTATCCAGATCACAAAGTGAGGAGAATAAATGTGCAAATATTTTCTCACATCACAGTTGTCACTGCAGGCAAGTGTTCTGAGATGAAATGATAAATATGTGTGCGCATACATGTATCTCACTTTTTATGGATATGATCTTGTTTTTTCGTCTTACAGTGTCAGGACCAGTAGCCGGATATGGTGGACAATGGATGGCCCCCGAACTGTGAAACATGACTTTAAGGAACCTTTCTGTGCGATAACACTAAGAATGGTTGTCCATAATTCCTCTGATGTTGTTGTGTCCATTCGCTGTAATCCCTCTGATTCTGCAGTATCAGGCAATGCATCTGCAGCTCCTGGAAATGAAGTAGGCTGGCACGATTTGTCACTGTCGAATGACATCAAAATCACATCCGATGTCCTGGGAGCTCGAGTCGTGAAGCCAACGTCGTCTGACACAGTTCCACCGTTCATTTGGTCAGCTTCAAGCTCTACTCATTTTGCACTCGAGCCGTTATCTTCTAGGGAAATTCCTATTGAAATTTGCGTGTTCTCACCCGGCACATTTGATCTATCAAACTATTCGTTGCACTGGAGTTTTTCATCCCCGAGTTATCAAGGGGACAATGGAGACAAATTGAGAGCTTTGTCGGGAACATGTCAGGGCCATCCATTCTACATAACAGTGCTTTAACAAGATTGAGAGCTCGGCTTATAGTGTATTTGAGAAGAGGCAATCAGCCTGTAGTGATTTTGTAAGTTGTAAATTGTGACGTTCTTGTATTTACACAGAAATAGAGACGTCAGTATGGAACAAAATAAAACAAAATTTTGACTGATAGCAGTAGGATACAAATCTAATTTGTTTCAGCCTCTTGGAACCAAATACGGTACCAGCTTGTAATCCACCCATTTTGTGGTTTAAGAACTTGGAAGATGAAAATTTAGGTTCTTCTTCTTTGGAAGATGGAAAATTTAGTTTCTTGACACTTACATACTGTTATTTGTAACTAAGTTTTCATATTTATACTTTGTACAAATTATTAGTATAACTTTTCGCCATGACTGAGGTTCATCTCTGTTCAATTTTTTAGTCAACATACGTGGTTGCTTACTAATATAAAAGGGTTTATATAATTGCTTAAATAAACATGCGTTATCTATGTAAATGTATCAGCGATGTGTAAATTTATCATATGGTCATTGATACACTAAACTTGTTTCAAGTCAAATTACACTCCTTTGCGTAATTCGCTTCTACAATTAATTAAAACCAACACATGTTCTTCATCTATTGAATAAAGATCGCGAAATAGGCTAAAACATTTATGTGGTTTAAATATAAAACCTATACAAATTTAGAAGATGTCGTACGGTCCTTTAGAAACTAGCAAGGACACTTGAGAAGTTGCAGACAAGTTTGAGAAAACTTTCTAGAATAGAAGTTTAGCTGGTAATTCAAACTCAAGATAGGATTCTTCTTCACCGAAACTTAAAATCATCGTTCTTGGAGTTAAATCAAAATCCTCTCATTAAAGACGTATAAAGATCAATAATTTACAATTTTTAAAGATTAAGCATTAGTTCTTAGATTTAAATTTCTGCTTGACACGTAACAAAGGATGTTTGTCATATTTTTTGAGTTCATCGCATCTATTTTCTTGTCTTTGCGATTCAAGAGTCAAAATCTGTGTCTACAACCACTAACTTGAGCTAGTTTAGACAATCATTTGTAAGTCTCCACAATAGGTTTAAAACCACTAACTTGAACTAGTTTAGACATAATCATTAGTAAGTCCGTAATTCCGAAACCTATTGTATGTTTTTTTAACTTGTAGAAACTTGCCTTATTAATTTGTTTTGTAGTTAGCTTTTGTCGAATATGCGAGGCCTGACTTGCTTCTATTACTAGTTGACAACAATACGAAAGATCATGTAACAAACATTACAATTTTTGTGATACATTGCATTTGTAATTTAATGGATTTGTTGGTAGTCTGGAAAGGAGTTGGGAGCTGATATTCCTCTATTGAGAAGGTCCTGTAGAGATTTAATATGACACATGCTAAACCTGTATTTGTTCCTTTTGCTTCCCATTTCAAGTTGTTTGCAGGTATGTCACAAAAAAACAGATGAGAAGATGGAGCAGATGTCTAGTGTGTCATATTCGAGTGTTGTGGGTATGCTATGGTTTGCACGCACCCTGACATCTCACATGTTGTTAGTGTTGTAAGTAGATACATGACATGTCCTAGTAAAGAACATTGGCAAGCAGTAAAGCGAATCTTGAGATACCTAAAGGGTACTATGGATGTGGGCTTGGCTTTTTACAAAGACAAGCAGAGTGAATTCATAGTTGGCTATGTTGATTCGAATTATGCAGGGGACTTGGATAAGAGAAGATCTCAGACATGTTATGTTTTACTCTTTCTGGTAGTGTCATCAATTGAAAAGCGATATTGCAGTCTGATGTTGCTTTGTCTACCATAGAGGCTGAGTGTATCGAATTATGGAAGCAATAAAAGAGGTTATTTGGCTACAAGGCTTGGTAAATGATCTTGAACTAGCTCACAAGAAGATATCAATTTCTGTAATAGCCACAATGCCATTCATCTTTCTAAAAATCAGATGTTCCATGAGCAGAAGAAACATATTAAAGTCAGGCATTATTTTATCCAAGACATTGTATCAAAAGGGTTTGTTGGTGTGAGGAAAGTGTCCACACATGATAATCCAGTTGATATGACGACCAAGGTTGTCCCGACCAACAAGTTTAGGCATTACTTAGGCTTGAATGGTGTATGCAGTACTTGGTAGAGCACTTGCAAGGGTTGAGAGCTAGACAGAGAGATGTTGTTCATGTTAATGAAGAGAATTCAAGCCAAGGAAAAGATTTATTAATTGTGTCTTGAATTTATTTTCTTGTATTTTAGAAAACCCATAGTCCCTATAGGTTTGGGAAACTCATTGTTCTAATATATTTGGGATTTTTTTTTTATTGTCCTTGTAGGACTGAAAAAACCGTTCTCTTATAGGTTTAGGACTACTTGGGATCTATATATAGGGATTCTAGGTGAAAATTCTTTGTACATTTCTATTCTTTTCATTCATAATAAAAGCTTCTCTCTCTTCTGCCCAGAGGATTAGGCTTATCCGAACCTCGATAGATTCTTCTGTTATTTTTTCTTCTCTATTTGCTTTATGTGTGACTGTGTAATAGTTAACCCACGATCTTTCTCAATAGTTGATGTCATATCTAGGCTCGAGTTTTGACACATAATCTAGAGCTAAGATATCTTTATCATCTTCAACAAAGTACGAAGCGGAGAAATTCGATGGAGAATCTAGTTTTAGACTATGGAAGATTAGCATAAATCGTTCCTGGTGTTACAAGGGATATGGAGGACAATTGATAAAATTTTCTGAAGAGATGAAAGAGTCGAAGAAGGAAGATCTGAAGGAGAGGGCTTTGAGTGAGAACTTCATGAGCGTTACGGATAGTGTTCTTTGGAAAATTACTGAAGAAACTTATACAACAAAGGAATAGAGCAGCTGGAAGATATGTATTCTAAGAAATCGCTAACAAACTGTCTCTACCTGAAAAATAGGTTGTACAGTCTCCGTATGAATAAGGTACACACGTATAAAATCACTTGATGTGTTTATATCAATTATAATGGACCTGAAGAACGTTGACACCAAAATTGATAGTGAGGATTAAGTCTTGATTATATTATGTTCTTTACCACCATCTTACGATACTTTTACTAATATATTGCTATATGGAAAAGGTAGTATTTCATTGGATGATATTAGTATACACTAAAATATAAAGAGTTAAAAAAGAGTTTCCCAAAAAGCACAAAAAGCAGAACTGAGAGCGAGGGTCTTGTGTATAGGAAAATAACACAATAGAAAGACTTCAATAGAAAAACGTTTACTGCCAGATTGAAGTCTAGGGCAAGCAAGTAAAAATTCTATGAGTGTAGGGAACAAGATCAATATTGGAGAGATTGTCCTAAGCTGAAAGAGAAAAAGGAGAAACAAAAAGTAGATAATTCTGCAAATATTATTGACACTGGCAACAACTCTGATGATAATGACTATGTAGGAGAAGTTTGTGCTGCGAGTTCTAGTCATAGGCAGAATTTCTTAGTTCTTGATATTGGTGAAAATTTTCACATGTGTCCACACACGAATTAGCATGCAACTTGCAAGCAGCTGAGTGGGACTATCTATTGTGAAATGATAATCCATTACCGGTAGAAAAGATTACTAACATCAGATTGAGATTGTTCGATGGAGTTATTAGAAATGTTGAGTGTTGGCATATTCCTTGAATGAAGAGAAATTTGATTTCTCTTTTGAATTTGGATGATCAAGAGTTTGAGTTCCACTCCGAGAATGGAACACTTTAAGTGTGTAAAGGCTTCATGTTACTCATGAAAGATAAGCTACATTTTTGACTGTATTATCTCCAAGCTAGTATAATTGAAGGGAAAGCTACTGTAGCTTCTTGAAAGAGTGATTTAATCAGTCTCAGTTGTAGTACTTACAACTTGGTCATACGAGTGACAAGGTATTGTCTTTGTTGAGCAAGCAGACTTTGCTGGATAAGTACAAAAATTAAGCATTGAATTTTTATGAACGTTGTGTGTTTGTTAAACATACAAGGGTGAAATTCAGCAAGAAGGTAGAGCACAAGTCTAGAGACAAATTAGACTATATACATTCAGACTTGTTGGGTCCAAGCAGAATTTCCTCGAAGAGTGATGCCAGCTATTCTATGACTTTAATTGGCGATTACTTAAGAATCGTTTGAGTGTATTTTTTTAAATAAAAAATAAGGCATTTTTGACATTTGATAAATGAAAGATGATAGTTGAGAAATAGATAGAAAGAAAAGTTAAATGTCTTCAAACTGATAATGAGTTGGAGTTTTTAAGTTTAGAGTTCAATAATTTCTATAGTAGAGAGGGCATAGTGAGACACTACACTTGTATCGAAACACCACAACAAAACGGTATTGCATAGCGTATAAAAAAAACTCTTTGTGATAGAGCACAAAATATGATTTCACACTCTTGTAATGATTCTTAGGTTGAAGCAATTAATACAACTTGCGATTTGGTCAACATATCTCCATCCACAACTATTGAGTTCAAAACCCCTTGTGAGGTATGATCCAGGTCGCCTGATGGTTATTTAAGTTTGAGGATATATGGTTATCTTGCTTATGCTCATGTAATGGATGACAAACTTGAGCCGAGGGTAAAGAAGTAAATATTTCTAGTGTATGCAATTAAAGTAAAATTTATAGGTTATGGTGCATAATTCAGAAGATTCCAAGGTTGATTATCAGTTGGGATATGAAATTCAATAAATTTGCTTCACTGGACAGTTAGGAAGAGAAGGAAATAAAAAAAATATATTGTGATGTTTGTGACCGTATAGAGCTAGAAATTGGATCTCCACTAACTCAACCTAATAGTTTAGAAGTAAAGGAAATGGAGGAGGTATAAAATCTTGATCAAAAAGATAATATTGATGCACATGTACAACAACAACCGCATAGCATCACAATAAGCAGAGAGAAGAGAGTGATCAATCGACCATAAAGGTTTATAAATGTAGTTGATAAAAATCTTCCCGGATATGCAAGTCTTTTGGAATTAGCTTTGTCAGTTGTAGAGACTATTGAAACGCTTTAGCCAAATAGCTATAAAGAAGTTATCTAGTCTAGAAATAGATTAGTAAGATGGTTCTATAGGTGAAGAGATTTAGTCTCTTCACAAGAATCATACATGAAAGCTGGTTTCATTTCCAAAAGGACAGAAAGTAGCAGACTGCAAATAGATTTTCAAAAGAAATGAGGGCAATCTAGGGGTTGAAGCACCACGGTACAAGGCAAGTCTGGTGTATGAAGGTATTACGCAGAGGGAGGGGATAAATTGCAATGAAGTATTCTCTATAGTGGTGAAGCATAACTCTAG